TTACCTGCTTCAGGCTTCCCGCGAATCAAATGTTCGCGGGAAGCAGGGGAGGGGGCGGAGACTTTGGGGAAGGGGCGGAGTTGGGGCGGGGGCGTTGGCAGGGCTTGGGGCGGGGCCGGGGGCGGGGCCGGGGCCCCGTGGAGTGTCCTCCATTTGGAGGCACAAAATATGGTAACCCTAGGTCTTAGTGCTGACCCTAGCAACTAAAGCAGCCTGGTGTTTAACCTATAACAACAGGAGTTGCTTCTTTACTTCAAGTGGCCTGGGGTGGTGGCTTCCACACTGAGGGGCCTGGGTTTGATCCCCCTCGATAACTGAAGTCGCTGATTAAGTATGAGTCCGGGTGGTCTCTCATGAAGCTCTTGAAGGAGGGAGTTATTCAGGGCTGGGAAATCCCCATGGAGGTCCCTTTTTCCTACCACACATTGGAAAGCACAGAGAGCCTGTGGCTGCCTCTAGCAGAAAGACATGTGCTCCCGCAGGGAGGCAAAGCCGGGGGGGGGCGTGGCTTCTGGCAGGGTAGCCCCACCCAGCCAAGCAAGAGAAAAGTGTAAGGACACACAGGCCAGTTGGGTAATAGTGTGGTTTCCTCTCTGGGGCTGTGGGCGTCATCACAGCTCAGATACATAACCCAGGCCACAGCGGGGATGATCAATCCTCTTCTTGCTAGGGACGGCGTCCAATCTGCTTCTGGCTCTGCCGTCAAGTCCATAAGCATCTCCCGGGCTCTGCTGTGGACCTTCTCCTGCTCCACCGAGAGCAATCATGGGCGATGGGGTGGTGTATCCTTCTGTCTTCGTGGTGGACGGCCAGCAGCACGGGGTCCCCTTTGTCCCGCCCATGAGGAGGAAGCGACGGGTGTGTTTGCACAGCCAGTTCTTCCTGGCCTCTCTGGTCATCTTAGCCCTGGCTGGTGTGGCCACCGAAGGCTATTTCCTGATCCGCTTCCAGAAAGAGCTGGAGAAGGCGACGTCCCAGGTTGGGGTGAGTGACTGGGAAAGGGGATTGGGAGACAAGAGTCTTGCATCACGCATGGGCAGTGATGGGACATGTGTGTGTGTGTGTGTGTGTGTGTGTGTGTGTGCGCACGAGAGGATGGGGCAGTGTGTGTTGGCAGGGGGCTCTGCGTGTGGATGTGTGTACACAGTAATAGGGAAATGAGCTGGTATGCACTTGGAGGCAGGAGTGTAGTGACACAGTGTCTGGGAAGTGCTTGTGTGCTGGGATCGGGCTGTGTGTGTATGTGTGTGTGTGTGTGTGTCTGCTGGAATGTGAAAATGAGCAGACTGCATGTGTGTTGGGAAGGCGCTGTGTGTGTGTGTGTGTACGCATGCGTGCGCTGTAATTTGGAAATGCGCTGGTGTGAGTGTGTGTGTGTGTGTTAGGATAAAGCTAGGTATTTGCTGGGACAGGGATCTGGGCGTGTGTTTGTGCGCTTGTGCGGGGTCTGGGCAGCATCTGTGTGTTACAATGGAGCTGTGTGTAAGAGAGTTTGGATGGAACTGTGTGTGCGGCAGAAGGGACAGTGTATGTTAGGATGGAGTTGTGTGTCTGCTGGGACAGGGCTGTGTGTGTGTGTGCTGTGATGGGACTATGTGATTTGGGGGACTCGTGTCTGCTAGTATGGGACAACGCAGGTTTGTGATAGCAGAGAGTCGTGCTGACTTGTGTTAAGCAGAGAGTCGTGTGTCTGTGTGCTGCAATGGGGCTGTGTGCAGTAGTATGGGACAATATGTTTGTGTTAACCTGGAGTGTGTGTTGAATCAGGACAGGCATGTGCACACCTGCTTTTGTGTGTGTGCTGGGAATGAGCAGTGTGGCTTTGCTAGGGTGAGCCCGGGTGTGTCTGTGTGCTCTGACAGGGCACTGTGTGGTTCTGAGAGAGAGTGTGTGTGTGTGTGTGTGTGTGTATGGATTTGTGTGTATAAATGGTGTTGGAGTTGTGTGTGTGTGTGTGTGTGTATGTAGGTTGGGGTGGCACTCTTGTGTATTACTGTGTGTGTCTGTGTGTGAACACCCGGTGTGTGTGTGTGTGTGTCTGTGTGTGTGTGTACACACCTTATAACATGAGACACGTTTCAAGCCACATTGTGCTTGTGGGCGCCCAGGCCAGCTGGTTGCAAACATTCTTGTGGAATCTCAAACTGCCCAGGCCCAGGCCCTGCCGCTGCCCCTCCTGGGGGGTCTCTACAGCGGGAAAATCCAGGGACCGTGTCCAAGCCCCCTCCTTTCATGGGTCTTCCTTCCACCCCAACAACCAACCCCCTCCACCAACGAGCCCCAAGAACCCTTGCAGAAATCTGCGTTGACCACGGGGATCCCAGGGGCAGGCAGGAGAACAGGCCGGAGGGGCAGCTAGGGAAGGGGCTGTTCCCCTGGGAGTCTGATTTGCCCCTGCCCTTGTGGGTCTTTTACCTCCCCTACTGGGGAGCCGGCCTAGCTCGTGCTGCCCTCAAAAACGGTGTTAGAACCTGGGTCAGCTACAAGTGCTTGTAAACTGCATCCTGTTATAAGGCTGGGTTTAAGTTCAGGCACAGAGCCGGGCCGCCCGGCTCTGGGAGGGGAGTGGGTAAGTAGGTCGGACTTCTGGGTTCTATCCCCAACTCTGGGCCAAACTTTCATAGCATTGAAGGCCAGCAGGGATCATTGGGTGATCTAGTCTGACCTCCTATTCGTCACAGGCCATTACATTTCAGCCAGATATCCCTCTAAAGCCCAAAGGTTTTAGTTATGCTGCAGCAGTTCAGTCCTCAATTTCATATATGCCAAGGCTCAGACCCCCACAGGCACTGGAGTTCGGTGTCTAAATACCTTTGAAGGTCTGGGCCCAAGCACCTGAAACTCTAGGCGAGCCCCAGGTTCTCAGCACCTCATAGAATCAGGCCTGAAGCTTGCCCAGCTGGGCAGCCAATGTCACTGGCAGAGTCGTGACCGTGTCTGCACACCCCACGTAGCCAGGTGTCTGCACACCCCACGTAGCCAGGTGTCTGATCCTGCCCGGGGCTGAGCCAATCACAGCTCCAGTGGGAGGAAGGTAGGTTGAGCTAGTCGGAAAATGGGGGTGGGGGGATCCACTGGAAATGTCAACCCTTTATTGAAGAAACGAACCCCGGAAATTCTTCAGACAAAACCCAAAAACGATTTGGCTGAAAATGTTCAGGGTTTGGGAGTTGGGGTTTTTTTTTTTTTTGCTGACAAAAAAAATCAAACGTTTTCAAGGAAATCAGGCCGTTTCCTTTAAAAAAAACCAAACACCCTTTTGTTTAGTGAAAAGCCCAATGTTTTCAATTGGAAAAAAAATGCTGATGGAATATTTTCATCCTACTCTGATATTAGGGGTTCGGTGTGTGTGTGTGTGTGTGTGTGTGTGTGTGTGTGTGTGTGTGTGTGTGTGTGTGTGTGTGTGTGTGTGTGTGTGTGTCGTCGT